GATTCCGGTGAGAAATACACAGTGCCTTACATTAACTATTTCCTGATCAGCTGATGGTACACAGTCATTTAGACAGTAAGGATGCTGAATACCTGAAAGTCCTGATTCACTTGTACATTCATTTGGGTGAGGATCCTGCTGAGTTGTTGATGGACCAGTCTCAACAGTGGCTTCCATACAAATTGTCTCCTCAAGATCTTCAAGGACGCTTTCTCCAGTGCTTAAAAGGCCAGGCAAATTGTCTTTTTCTTGGAGGGGTTGGTTTTCCGACCTTGCGCGATCGGTGACGAAAGATGGTGCAAAATCATCGTCTCTAAAAACATTAGAATCGAAGGGCCAAATACCAGCCTTTTTGAAAGCGTTACATATATTGGTAGGTGTTGCTGCCAGAGGAAAAGCGTATTTGACTATTCCTGGTACTTCATAAGTGGTCATAGTCTTTCCGGGATTCGTTCTTAGCCAGTTGCTTTGGGCTTTAGAGCAGTACGTTTTTAAAGGGCCGTTAATACCCACATCTAGTGGTTGCAAGCGATGGGTGCAATGTGGGGGCAACGATAATAATATGACTGAGTTGCTCTTAGCTTTTTCGGTCACATCAATATCAATGTGAGATGAATGATTATCCAGGAGTAACAGCACTGGCTCTGTAGGAGTAGGTTTAGTGTATTTTATAAAATGATTCATAAACAGTAGAAACTCTGTGCTTGTCATACATCCGGAGCAGTTGCCAGCCCCAATGCATTCAGGAGTGCCGTCCCGGATAAACAGGTTTTTGAATTTCAGACGTGGAAACACGAGCATCGGTGAAATTGTGTTTCCCAAGGCACTTTCCGCAAGCTGAACTGTAACTAACGTTCCACCCTCTGCTGAAACAATTGCACCTACTTGCTTTATTCCTTTTTCTGCCACACTTTTCTTTGGTTTTGGCACAGTGTGCGCCAGTCTCATTCAGGTACCAAATACGAGAAGGAGTAAGATTATACTTGGTGATCAGGTCGCCAAGTTTATCAAATAATTGCTCCACGCTATGTCGGTTGAATGCGGACGCGCGTCCCGCACTGGTAGCATCCGGTGTCCTTATAGAAAGTGTAGGGTTCCTTTCCAAAAAATTTGTCAACCAATCCTTACCAGCCTCGCCATTTTTATGCCAAGATGGTGGAATGTTTTGGACATTGAATTTTATCGCACACTGGTATGAAAGTTGTCGAACTCCTTCTGGGATAAGACCAAAGTAAATAGAGGCACTTTTCCCAATATATGACGACAATAACATCTCTTGTTCTTCATTAAATACTACTCATCAGCGAACTAGCTCTCTTCTACCACTACGCCAACTCCCTTTGCTCCTCAGAGCTCTCCTTCATGATAACGCCCGGTGATGCGCCTGTCACACAGATCCGCCTGACTTTGCTGTATACGCCAAGAGTAGCCACGGACATCGAAGCTGTAACAAATGCTGGCAGCATCTCCACAAAAAAATATATGATTTCTGTATTTCCTGTACATTATAAGAATTGCAATTCAAATGTGTAGGAATCTTCGTTGAAATGGTGATTCACCTTGGAACATTTCTATTTCTACCGAGTCAAATAGCTTAACACACCAGCCGCATAATTTTTCCCTTACAGAACCATGTAATAACAATTAGATTTTTCTGCTTGGTGTTGCTTTAATCACTACTACTCGGAAAATGAATATAATAACATGAAAATAAACGCGTTCGAAACCGGTGTTTATGTTTTAATTGCGAGGTGGAATCGCAGGCACGAAGAATTAACTTAATTAAAAGCATTTTTATAATTAGCCATTGTAATAATACCAACCTCTCATTGCTAGTTTATGCCTTTGTGGCATGAGCTGCCGCCATATCAGAACGTAGGTCATCTCAATTCAGAGGTGGTACCTTTGATTAATGTATTTTATGTGACGGACAAAGGGCGGCTGAAGGTAACACTCCACTCGCTCCTTCAAGAGCTTTTATACGTAATTATGGTAGGTAAATCAAATCATATAAACGTTAGAGGCCAAAAATACAAACTATCATCTACCCGTAGTACCGAGTAACCATCTAGGCTAAAAAAATTTACCATTATACCAATCATAAATCATAATCCCGGAAACTTGCGAGTCCGCTATGGAAGCCTGGGATGTCGTTAAAGGTGACCCCCGCCCTTCTGCTACTACGAGCCCCTGTGCCGCCCCCGCATCCATAAGCTCACCAAGATCCAAAGATTGAGATGGCGATAACTTGAGCTTAGCACTTACAACCTACACAACAGTCTCCCAGGCAGAGATTTGGTATATGCCAACTTAATCTATTACCGAGGACAAGTTCACCTATAGTGCAACCATTGCTTTTCAAATGTTAGCCCCCGATCTAAGGATGGGTCGACCGGCAAAGTTGAATACCTGGTAACGAGAGAGCAGACACTCTGGCTAGGTTTGATCAGCCCGAGCTTAGGCCGATCAAACGAATGGGGGTATAGGAATCTGGGAAGTGGTACATACTACGAGTAGTAGTGTGGGGAGGCAAAGCCTGGCAACTAGGCCACCTCTGACCCTTTTTGCTGACTGTAGTACCAACATTGTTGTTGGAGCCATCTACTCGTAATATACATATAATAAACTAGCTCCAGCGATGAGAAGTACCTGTTAACACTGAACCACGTGCGTCTTATAGACAACACAAGATCCATGGTAAGGAATTAACTTCCGAGGAGGCGACGCGAACCCGGGCGCCCTAGGTTGCTAGCTCGACGTGCTGATCTGGGAATAGTGTGGCGAGAGACACGACTGCAGGCAGGCCAAGGGGTTCGCAGCAGGTCTTGACGAACGTCGGTCGCGCGGCTACTGGACAGAAGTAAGGAATCACCTAAACTTTTGGCGGAAATCGTTACCGGCCATTGTAAATCAAACAGGCACTTGTGTCCACTAAGGGTAGAAAGATATCTCTATCTACGCTTTTGTCTCGCTTACTACAACCTAAGGGATGAGATAGTCTTCAATAGAGTGGTTGGACATCCTGAATTTCATTAGGAGATCAGGAAGCTTCGACAGACAGATATACGTATGATTGTGTTTTGGTGTTGGATGGTCTGCGATTGAAACTAGTTCTTTGAATATTAAAACCATGTATGAAATATGAAAGAAACAAAATGATAGATTAGGAATGTGAGAGGCTAGACTTGCTCGTTTAAATCGAGGAAAGAGGGTTGCCTTGCAACTACAAGTTAACGGATGCAATTATCTTGCAGACAAGACAATTCCATTTTGCAACTGCAAGAGCTTGCGTGCAACGCTAAAACGGTTTTATATTAAACTAAAAATGATGCTTTTGTCCGTCCGACCAAAAGACTGCTGTATCGTGTTTTTGGCTACTGATCAGCATGGACTAGGCTTGGTCACTCGTCTCTGAGACAATTAATGAAAGCATTGCAACTACCTTCTACCCAGGAGGCATGCTCTAGCGAAATAAGACATCACAAAGCTCCATCTATCACCAGAATCGGCCACTGCGGAAAGCGCATAGCTGCTATTAGTTGGAACTGTTCAATGATCTCAATTCACATTTAATACCCCGGTCACCACGTGACCGCTAGATGGCTGACGATTTTGGCTGTAAAGTAGATGTGGTCTACCTCCCATTGAAAAAACTAAATATGATGCTTTTATCGGTCCAACCAAAAGTCAGTCAACCATGTGCAGCTATTTCATGCTTCATCAGCATGGCCTAGGATTGGTCTCTCGTCTCTAGGACAACAAACGAAAGCATCGCAACTATCCTATATCCAGGAGGTACGGTGTATCGGTATTTATATTGTCTAAAGGGAACGTCCAGCTTGCATACGCGCAACGATTTTTAAAAACTCTGGACAGCTAAATATCATACACAAATCTCTGAGGTTTCAAATCATTATCCAGTACATAGCGTTCGTCAGAGTTTGAAGCCGTAACAGCAGCCGCGTCAGAATCGAGAATGTTGCCCGCCCACTCATTAACACCAAAAATGGTAGTGAAAGAACTAATAAACCCGCCTCCATTGTAACATGGGCGTGGACAGACCATGGTACAGGGCCATGGGGCGCCTGTTTTCCAAAACAGTTGCTAGCGGGCTTTTCCTATGCTAAAAGAGAGGGCGGACACGTTTACTCTAATAAGATTATACACTCTGGAGCATGTATGATGTAAAAAGTAAGCATACGAGGGAGCCACCAAACATACCTTAAAAATATGGAAAGCTAAACCGAACAAAGTTGATAATTTTACTTAGAAATGAGCGAAGATAAAGAAAGCCAACAAATGCAGTCGGTAGATAATTTTGTAGATTGTACTTGATGCCATTCTTGTCATGTGAATATTTTTCTATAGATGCAAATTTTCGGAATTCAAAATAAAATGAAGGAACAAATGTGCGGTGCAAGCGGAAATAAAAGAGACGATAGTATATATAAGTTATAATTAATAGCATCACAGCTTATGAGAAGTGGATATACCCTCTCTTAAAATGGTCGAATGATGTCAATATCTCACTTCTATTTTGATGGTGATACAGTATCCGTTGTGGCTCAATAAGGGAGTTGAACAAAAAACGTGAGGTCAAAAAAATTTTTCCCAGTTAGATATTCTAATAGAAGATCATCCTTTTGTTTTTAGCTTCGGTGGGAATAGATCAAAAAAGTTATCGGCTTGGTAGGTTTGACTTTCTTGATTAGGTATTACTTTGTTCGAACTATATGATCCACATAACGTAAAAATATAAAGAAAAAAGTGTCATTTTGTCACTATAAAAGCGACAACCAAATCTTTTTTTGTTTTTTTCTGCGGACATCCGTATAAAGCTTAAGATTTTTTAGTAGCTTTCAATCGGTGTGACTCAATAAACGTCGAACACATTACAAAATAAATGTTTATATATGCATATATCTCCATACGTTGCTAAATTGATATTAAAATTTCAAAAGCAGTTTCAAAAATGTTTGAGGCTAAATCGTACGAAAACATCATTCATATGCATTGTCACAAACAATGTCTTCATGAATTTTCGGTTCGTTTTGATATCTGAATGCAAAGCTAGAAGAAAATAAAAACTACATAATGATTCTAGGCCCGCAGCGAGAATTAATTTTTTGGACTCCGCGTCCCAGTCGCGTCTCATTAGGAGCCCTAGCAAATAAATTTTTATTATTTGAGGTTGCATGTCCCTTTTTTCAAATAACTGTGGAACAGTATTGTAAGTCCTTTTCATCTGATTATTTCATGGTGTGTAATGGAAAAAGTATTATCAAGTACAGTAAAGAGCAGTGTAATCAATTTTTTATCCATTTTATTGTGGATTATTTAGTACAGCTCTGAAAATGTATGTCAAAATTCCACTTTTATAGTAGAATTGGGCGCGCGATTACTTTTATTTTTTATTCTCTTCGAAAAATCTTCGTTTTTCTTGGAACCTCATTTTATAGCTAATTGAGTGTCCAATAAAAGCAAATATTTCTTGAAGAGAGAATGTGATAAGTAAAAAGTAATCACCACCATTCCATAAAAGTGGAATATTTACATACAGTCTGGCAGAGGTATCAAACTCAGTGAAACTCAATCGTATGTCCCTTAATAGCTTTTGGCAGCTTTGCTTAGTTCTTTAGGGGCTCTTTTAACGAATTATTTGTTCCAACCCCGTAGCCGAATTTTTCACCCACCCGTCATAAAGGGCGCGTGTACTCCAGTAGCAGGAAACTCCCATTTTCATCCGATTTACTTCCAGCTGCTGGCTTCCTTTGTTTTGAAACTGTTGCCAGGAAGAGGCGGATTTCGCATTTCGCGCCAAAGGACGAGAGGGTTCGTCCTACGACAAACACCGGTTCTACCGGAAATCAGCTCTAGTTACATATCTTTTGAAACGATATACCTACATTTTTACATTTATCGTTTCAGATTTTTTGCCATGTTACAACACAGATCTAGAGATCTACAAATTTAGTCTACAGTTCATAACCCATTTTATTGAATGATTAAGCCTAAGCGCGCACTAGCGATTTATTGTCGTGCGACTTTAAGTCGCTAAAATGAAGCATTAACATTTTAATGAACATGCACGCATTCTGCGACAAAATAATCGCTGCGACTAAATAATAGAACCAATCCTATTTTAGCGGCCACACGACTATCGCTGATTTGAATGAAGCATACCGACTCGTAGGGACGTGCACGCATTGCGATTATTTAGCAGTACGATTTTCGTTGGGTTGAAATCTACGTGGGAACAGTCCGTCGTTTTCCCTGTTTTCAGTTATGATTAGTATATAATATGTTTGATTTTGGGTGTGAAATATTAATAAAAAATGATGTCTGACAGTGAAGAAACCACCCACATCGTTCTTGATACTGAGAGAATTATTATGGAAGTTGAAAAAAGACCAGCGCTGTATAATAAAGAACTGAAAGAATACAGCGATAGAAATGCGAAAGACAAATTATGGACTGAAGTATGCGCAAATGTAGTATCAAAATGGCATGAACTATGAGGAGCAGAAAGAAAAGACAGAGGTAGGTAGATTATATTGTTATCACTGCAAATAATACAAATTTTAGAAAATGTGAATTAAATTTTGTCATATTGCCAAGCAACCGAACCTTGCGGATAAGTTAAATAAGTTGCAAAACAGTCTCGTACTTGCATGCCCGATGTGTTAGCTCTTGTTCTAGCAGGTAGAATGGACTGTAAGGGGCATTCGTATGATTCTTCGTGAAATTTTATACCATCGTGTTTTCTTACAAAATTATGTAAAACGCAGCACGCTTTAATGATTTCGTCAGAAAATTCTATTCCGACATCTAAGGGACGATGAAAATTCGCCAATTATTGCTCATAATTCCAAATGTACAGTCTAGCATCCTCCGAGCACGGGGTAATCGATAGTTATAAACCCGTTGTTTTGGTGTGTCGTTTCTTCGAGGATATGGTTTGGAAATCTGTTGTATTAAAGCGAATGCCTCATCTCCCACAATGACAAAAGGCATACACTTTCCTTTTTCATCGTGAGGAAATGTTTGCGGGTTAGGAATTTTTAATTGGTTAGTTGCTAGCCTTCGGCGAAAATTCGAGTTTCTAAATATATCCCACATCTATTGAAATAAAACAATAATCGGCATCAACCACGGCAAGAATTACTGTTGAGAAAAAATTCTTATAATTGTAACATTCTGAGCCTGTTGTCTTTAGTCATGTTAGCCCGTGTTCCAGTCGGATGACAGCTTCGCATAGGAGATTCGTATAACTCATCCTCAACTCGTATACCATTCTTTTTCCGCACGAAATTATGCAAAACAAAACATGCTTTCATAATATGGTCAGCTTCGTAGTATTGCTCTTTACGTCGGGTTTTGGCTTTATTTCGTAATATCAACGCAACCACACAAGCAGTTTGAGTGAAATCCATGATGGTACTAAATGTAGTTACGACTAATTCATCGCCAGTGCGAGCCCAAAAAATTGTGAATACGTTTTTGCGCGAAAGTCGCATGTGCGCGCCTGGCTTAAGTTATACTTGCAAGTTTACATACAGCTTCGTTCTGGTGAGTCCGACAAAGTTCTTACCTATCTACAAACTTAAGGAGAAGGTAGGCTTTGGACTGACCTCACAAATAACAAAAACTTACCTATAAAAAAGTGTCACCGTCTTTGAGTTGTTGAATTTTTTCTTAAATTTAAAAAAACGAACCTTTTCATCTGTGGTCTTTAGCTGCATGTACAAATAAGGCTTTACTTTGTTCATTTTTTCTATAAAATACTTCTAGGTAGTTGCTTTATTACATACAAATGCAATGTAGTTAAAAGATGTTAAGGAACCATGTTCATATTTTGGGATTTATAACCTTTTGATATTTTTTCCTCAACAATGACCATCTGTGGTGAAACAAAAATGTACTAGGCTATAACTAAATTATATTGAATAAAAAGATTGCTCATTGAACACAGATTTCAGAAAGGACCCACACGTAGATACTATTTGGAACAGAAAAAAGTGATAGCTGCTTTTGTAAGTGACTGACACATACTACAATGTAATTATTGGATTTAAACTCAAGTTGCACTGGCTACCGATCAGTGACATGCTAAATAGTACCAAGCTACATTATTATTACCTGCTCCTGATATGATTTTATGAAACTTAATGAAATTTGGACTCGAGTCAGTAACAATACAAAAGAATTATTTTTTATCATGGTTCCTTAATATCTTTTAACTATAGAGTAAAGCGGGGAAATATGGCAACATAAATTTGAAACGCTCACATCCTGGCCTCCATCGGACCTAGTCGCAATAAGATTATTGAACCTTGGAGCTTACACAACATGCAGGTTTGCGGTGTGAAGACTCTCGTTGCCCTATTCCGATCGACAAAAATACTGTAATCAAAAATGTCCAATGACTCACTATTGCCATATTACCCGCACCTATGGGTAATATGGCATCTAGCTCTGGGTAATAAGGCAACATGTTTTCGTAACGTAAAAATTAGGGAATTCAACTTTTCATAGAAAATGCTGATAATTGAAAAAATAAGTACACTTTTATTTCCAATGAAAATACTCAAAAAGTAAAAAACAAGACAGATTATCCTAATAATGTAAATGTTAATATACTTAGGTATACATACTGGTAAATATCCTTTAATGAGATTTTGTCTTTGTAGCTATTTCGGATAACGCCGTACACTCTTCGTAAAATGTGTCAGATTGCGTACATATTTCATGGACCCATTTCAAACATGTTACGCATTGGAGCCAGTCGCATTAGGGACCTTTTTTATCGTAAAAATACCCATGACATGCTGAACAAAATTCTGACTCATCAGTATCGATTTCTGAATCGTCGCTTTCTTGGGTTACTACCTCGGTTTCGGTGTCTGACGAATTCGGGCTTGGTGATTTTTTAGTTTTCTTTTTTGGAACTACCGTTTTCTTCCTATGCTCAACAATACTTTGCGTTTTTTTCCGTTCTTCTTTTTGTTTTAATTTTGTTCTTTTTACTTCTTCCTTTGCTCGTTTTGCGCAAATTGTTAGTATTTCGGCATGTTGTTTTCGTCTATAGCCACTTGGTCCTGGTTCCACGCGTGGAACCGGTGAAATTGCTTCAAAGGGGTTTCTATTTTCGGGGTTGTTGACTGCAATGAGACTACCTGGTCTGTGGTCGTTTTGCTCCTCACTGAGAATGTCTTGTGGGTTGTGTTTGTCATCAGCTGATGGTTCGTCGTTAATGGTAAAATCATAATCGGGAATTTTTTCGGGATTAAAAGGGTAAATCCCACAGGTTCTGAAACCGGAAGTCACATTTTGAATTGTTGCAGCCTTACACCAGGCAATATTTAAAAGTTGTTCGAACTGCAATCGGTTCAGTTTTCGACCAGGATTGTTATGAACCCAGTTTTGACAAGTTTGAGCCCAATAAGATTTTAAGGCTTTGAACAATGAGCGATCAAGCGGTTGAAGCCAATGTGTGGTGTGGCTGGGCAAACAAAACAGGATGACGTTATTCGCTATAGCAAAATCCAACAGTTCGACATTAGAACAGTGCGAACAATGTCCATCCATAATTAATAGAATCTTACCGGCACCTTTCCGCGGAACAAAAAATTCACGAAACTATTGGAAAAAAATTTCAGATGTGACATAAGCTGACTTCTCGCCCATAACAACCTTTCCTCCAGGTGGTAGACCATCTTCAAATTCCTTTTTTTTGTTTTTCCCTTTGAATATACAACAGGGTGGGAAAAACTGCCTTCTGCGTTTACACACGTTATAACGGAAATAGTTTCTCCCTTTTCAGCACTCGTAATACAGTTTACCATTTTAGTGCCTTTAGTTACCACAACTTTGCCTGGATTATTATTTAACTGCAATCCAGTTTCATCGACATTAAAAATGTTTTGAGGCTTATTTAATAAATTATTTTCTCCCAAAACGTTTCCTAGTAGTTCGAAATATTGGGTACATTCTTGTCTCGTCATGCCTTTGGCTCTGGCAGTAGACATTCCTTGAGCCTTACGTACTGCCAGTTCAGGATGTCGTCTCATGAAGGCGAGAAACCAGTCTTGACCTGCCCTTTTTCGTTCGGTATTAAAATTATGTGGAATATTTTGTTGGATCGCAAAAGAATATGCAAGCTTTTTTATATCACGATTTTTTTTCTGCATTGCTGGTTAAGTGTAAGAGTAGCGTGTTGCTAAGCTTTACAACTCGTTTTTTTCTCTATTGAATTCTACAATTTCAATGAAGACGATTATTATTATTATATACCTTTTTGCCTTCTCCGTCACCTCTGTAGAACTGTTCAGCTCTTGTTTTCCCTTGTGCCATTGGATCGACTGTTTCCAAGTGAGATGGATTCGCTACCACGGCCAATCTGATATTTTTGTTCGTTACCCGGTTCAACCTACAATAATTCTTATAAATTCTATTATCAAAGTCAACGTCTAAGATTGTCAAAGATTATTTTTTCTGTCCGTCAAATCGGAGCTTAATACAGATCTGAGACTTCTAACTATAGAAAGATAGACTTGCTTTATTGTCAGAGGAATAAAAATATTGTTAATGGCTCAAAACTAAATGACAACAAAATTACATTCAGGCCTCAAGTAAATGAATTGTAGAACTCGCACATATTGTTTACAAATAAGTAAGTTTTCACGTTCACGGCGGAATATCTTTAAATTGTTGATTCTTTTGACAAGAGTTGACTTAGGTATTTCAAATTTAATATATTATTTTGTTTGTTTAAGACTTATTAAGCATTAGAATCTTTAAAAATTACAACAATCACATAAGATACCAATATTCAGAAAAACAAAACTTGCATCTCTGCCCATTTAAATGTTTCTTTAATTTTCTTTCAGATACCTAACTTTAAATTACAAGTAGAATTCATATCATTATTTGGTTCATTAAATTCAAATAATTCCTTCTGAAATACTGATTTGAAAATTATATTACTATTGCAATTTTGTAAATCGAAATCTGTATTTCCTATTCTATAATATATGCATTTCTATGAATAATGTTGTGGCAAAAATGATTTATTTTAAATATAAAAATAAGAACCAAATATGATTTTTTTACATTGAACTGCCCATACTGAGCGAGGGCCGTGGCAAATGCTTGTTCCGGAAGTTGTTGTATTCAGTATACAACTTCTTCCCGTCCAAGTGATTGTGCACGCGTTAAGGAATACCTCAGTACCGATTGCCGGGTGGCGGTACAAGTCCACCAACGGGCCACTTTAGGTCTATTTAGCATCACTAACACGTAAAAAGAAGGTGGTAGACAAGGACCAGTCGACCGAGGCAGTACCACCCGCTAGCTTTTCCAGGGTGACTTATAAATGTCCGCATGTTTCCACACCTAAGCTATGCAGTCGGTTATCTACCAAACAAAGAAATTAATGATGATGGATCCCTCGAGCACTAAAAACTCCGGACGTAAACTCACTCCACTCTCGGAATGCCCGGGTGGAGGGTGGGCTCGAGGGAACAACATCGAAGATAAAATTTGTTTTTCGAACATCTGCGGGATCAACAGCAAATTGATGCTGTTCATCACTACCTGCAATCCAATCGTCCCGCCGTGCTTTTCTTGGCGGAGACAAAAATCTCAGAGACTGCACCGATTAACCATCTCTACTTCCCAAACTACGAGGTGAACTCCAATCTAAGAAAGAACGGGGGAGTTGTGGCTTTTGTCCGCAGCAGTCTTTCCTGCTCCAGGGATCTTTCTTTGGAATCAGACCGGAAGGACATTCTGTGGCTTCGCCTCAACTCCAAAACATCACCCAAATTTATTTGCTGCCTTTATCGCTCTCCCTCGAACCATAACTGGGATGACCTACTCGAATACCTCGCCGTCCAGATCGACTTCCTGAAGATCAATCACCCCGCTTCAGAGGTAGTTCTTCTCGGTGATTTCAATGCCCATAATGAGCTTTGGGTGGGCTCAAATAAGACCGATGCAGCAGGTCGTGCAGTCGAAGCGTTCGCTGTTACTCAAGGGCTGACCCAGCTGGTGACGAGCCCTACTTTTTTCCCCCGCGTCTCGTCACACGCCAGTAGCCTGCTGGATCTCTTTCTGACCACGCATCCTGCCCCTTACAGCACTGCTGTCCTGTCCCCCCTGGGTAACTCAGATCACGGTATTGTGGAGGTTAGGTTTCGGTCAGAAGCCGCTGTGGCAGCAGAAACTCGCACAGGCCGCAAAACTTGGCATTACGGACATGCCGACTGGGAGGGGCTCGGACACTTCTTCTCTAGCTTTCCTTGGAGAGATGTCTGTTTCACTGACGCGGATGCGTCGACTGTCTGTTCTTCAATAACCGAAATTATCCACGTCGGAATGGAGGAATTCATCCCTCACAGAGTGAAAGTTCCTAAACCAGGGCCCAACGGCTGGTTCAACAAATCGTGTGACACTGCTGGCCAGCAGAAGATCAAGGCCCACAGAACCTACTTACAAAACCCCACTGTAGAGAACAGACAAGCCGACGTCGAGTCCAGAAACAAATATAACGAAGCGGTTCGCAATGCCAAAAACCAGCATGATATAAAAGTTACGCACAGGGTAATGTCGCAGCGCAATGGCAGTCGGTCTTTCTGGACGCTGGCCAACCAGATTGAAAAGAACTTCTCACACAGTAGCCTTCCACCACTTTCGTGTCAGGATGGAACTATTGTATTCGACTCAGAAGCCAAGGCGGAAGTGCTAGCCAAGATCTTTGCTGCCGACTCCACCATGGATGTCCCCACCAACGCCCAAGTGCCGTCAATTCAAAGGGTTCCCCACTATGCGGGAGGTAACATTCAGGCATAAGACCGTAAGACGAGTGCTCTTGTCGCTCGACATCAACAAAGCTTCTGGTCCGGACTTGATTCCTGCCATTGTACTGAGGAGATGTGCAGCGGAGCTTGCTCCAGTTCTTTCGCGTCTCTTCCAGATGTCTTATGAATCCGGCACCCTCCCAGAAAACTGGAAATTTGCTCATGTACAGCCCATCCCAAAAAAAGGATCTAAAACCGACCCTTGCAACTACAGGCCTATAGCTCTGCTTTCTGTTATAAGTAAGGTGATGGAGAGGTGCATAAATCGCGAGCTTCTAGACTACCTCGAACGTCACAGCTTGATTAGCGACAGGCAGTACGGTTTCCGGCACCAACGATCCACAGGGGACCTCCTAGCTTACGTCACGCAACTGTGGAGTAAACCCATCCAGTCTCATGGTGAGGCTCATGTCGTTGCTCTTGACATCACGAAAGCGTTCGATCAGCTGTGGCACGCTGCCCTCTTAAGCAAACTTCCATCCTACGGCCTCCCAGAAAAGCTTTGCAGATGGGTGGCTGACTTTATCTCTGGCCGCAAGATATCCGTCGTAATTGACGGATTCTCCTCTTCATCCCACAATGTCAACGCGGGTGTTCCCCAGGGTTCGGTCTTGGCTCCAACACTGTTTCTCTTACATATCAACGACCTCCTTTCCTGCACGATCTTCCCAATCCACCGCTTCGCTGATGACAGCACTCTACATGCAGGAATTCAGAGTGACAAGCCGATCTCTGCCGCTGAGCTGGAAAAAAGAAGACTAGCGACGACTTCTTCTCTGACAAGAGACATGGAGGCTGTCACTGCTTGGGGACGCAACAATCTTGTACAGTTCAATGCTTCCAAAACACACTACTGTACTTTCACGAACAAAAAGCGTCCTAGCGCTCATACAGTTTCGGTGGACGGTCGAGTTCTACCAAAGAGCCATTCATTTCGGCTGGTCGGAGTCCAGATCACCGAGGACCTGATCTGGCATGAACACATCTCTTCAATAGCTGCAGCTGCTGGGAAAAAGCTAGGCTATTTGTTTAGGGCTAAGAAGTACTTTTCTCCGCATGACCTTCTCACTCTATACAAGGCCCAGATAAGGCCTAGCCTCGAGTATTGCTCACACATTTGGGGTGCTGCCGCCCCGACTACATTGTCCATGCTCGATGCTGTCCATAGGAGGGCGGTCCGACTGATCGATGACTCTTCTCTAACAGACAGTCTCGGGACTCTTTCGCACCGGCGGGTCGTCGGCGATCTAGCTCTTTTCTATCGCTACACCAACGGGCTTTGCTCCTCAGAGCTCTCTTCCATGATGCCGCCGCGCGATGTGCCTGCAAGACAGACCCGCCTGACTTCGGCGTCCCATCCTAACCGTGTCAAACTTCGTACATCCAGAACTGGCCGATACGACCGCTCCTTTGTGCCGAGGGTGTCTAGATTGTGGAACAATCTACGGGAGGAAGCTTTTCCCAGTTCTACTAACCTTAGGCAGTTCAAAAATAGTATTAACAAAATTTCTTTGGGATCATCATAGCAGCCGCGGTGTTCCGGCATTTAGGCTTCTGCCTGCGCGGCTGTTTCGATAAAAAAAAAAAAGATAAAGCAAAGCCGTGCGATGCCATGTTTTGTATATATTTGACTAAACTTGTTTATTGTACCATACTGAGTAAGCTTTTGCGACCTAATGCCACTTTATTTAAGTTTCCCGACCGCATTCTTCTCATTAAGGTTCTAACTGGAACATTATAAGTACGACTTCTTTCTCGAACCGATCCTTTACCTCCATGAATGTCAGATACTGCATTCCGAAGGTCTTCTTCTGACCATTGAACTCTTACATTTCTTCGAATATAAGAACGTGGCATTGTGTTAATCTGAAATAAGCAGAAAAACGCACCACATTAGGATCTGTCACATGAAAAAAGTAAATGGGGTAATATGCCGCACCGTCACTTTTATGCGGCATATTGCCCCACTGCGCAACAGTAACATTTCAACTAAAACGCACAAACCCCGTGTAAATCCAGGAAGCGGTACATGTGTTAAATGTTAGGTTATGGATCTTACTTTGCCTAGCAATAAGGATTATTTAAATCGGACCACGAAAACTTGAAAAAATTCTTATTATATCTCACATAAAAATAATTTTTGGTTTGTACTTACCGGGTTTTTGGGTCTATCTTGCACTAAATCAAGTAATTAACACACATTCAAAGGTAACGGGATTGCTTGCATTTATGGCGACAGATTAATGTGGTAGGTGCCTTCTGTAACCGTCGGAGTGCACTATGAGCGAAGTGAGGCGTATTACCCGTTGCGGCATATTTCCCCGTTTTAC